TAGGGATCTGGTTGGCGGCGGTAGACTTCGTAGTGTTCAGAGAAGTAGGCATGGGGGTTGAATTGGGAAAGGTATGGGGTGGGTAAGGCCTGCGGTAGGGTTTTTCAGCTCTGAAGTGATGATAGTCGAGGAAGCAGCCTTGGGAGAGAATGAGATCTGCAGACTGTTTGGATGTAGTAACCATTTTCATAAAAGTGGAGGGTAAGCCTGTTTTCTTTGACTGTATGCGGTGGACGGCGTGGATTTTGGAATTGGTCGTGGTAAGCAGGGCTTGGCGTATTTCTTCAGGCGTGAAGGATCATTTGTTTGACTTCGTGGAAGGTAGTTTATTCAAACAGGCAATCCAGAAATCTGTACAACTAACTTGACTTAAAATGAGACCATTAGTTGAAGTAACTTTGGTATTGTGGAATACTTGACTTTCTTTGTTTCACTAAAATGTTTCAACAGTTTTGTTTTAACCTCAGCAACCAGACACAGATGATGAAGCTCAGCCAATTTTGGTAACAAAACACTTTGTTATTAAAGAATTGTATGTTTAAAACCACATTTGTGTTTCCTTGTTTTCCTCTACTGGCAGTGTTCAATTTATTCTTAGCTTAATATTCATAAATCAGCATTTTATTATTTAATCCATTTGATGAGTCTTAAAAAATATTTTTGTCTAATTACTAAATTATGTTTTCTAAAAAGCTAAAGCATATTGCCTTTATTGGACAGATATATCTTAAGTTGATCATATTCAGGAGGCTGTAACATACCTTTGCATACAATAACTCATCCCATACTCGATCTTTCTATTAATGATCAAAAACAAAGTAGTAAATTCAAGTCAGTCAATTAAACCTGAGTTGCATGGGTCTTTGCCATTGGAACACAAGTCAATTATCATTTATAAAATGACAAAGTTATGTTTTTTTCTTCACATTATTGTTAGATACTTATTCATAATATTAAATTTGACTGAATACTTTTTCTGTAATTGTTTGATTACCTGAATTATATCAACAAGTCTTTTTTTTTTTTGTTAAGCACAAAGCTACACAAAGGGCTATCTGTCCTGTGCCCACCGCAGATATCAAAACGGATTTTTAGTGTTATAAGTATTCAGACTTACTGTTCAGCCACTGGGGTGGGCAACAAGTCATAACAATTTATTAGAACTAAATAAAAAAGGTTTTACATGTACATTACTGAAATTACAGAACTAATAAAATCATAACAAAAATATTTCTATTTTTCAAAACCACTTTGATTCTTTTAAAGTTTCTAAAAATATTAAACATCTTAAGTACATTTATAATACTTCAAATACTTTAATCTGATATTTAGCAAGTCATCATTTAAAGACCTTGAGTTTCTCACTGACTTTCACCTAATAGAATTTCCAACAGGTAAAATGGAATTTAAATAAAGTTTGTTATTTCAACCTAAACTGTTTTATTTACTTATCAGTTCTTAATTTTCTTGAGTATTATCATCCAACTATTTTGTGAACACTTGTAAAAAAAACAAAAGTTAAAACTTAATACTTTATCTATTGAACTCGTTCTTTAATGGAATTCATGGATCCTCATTTTAACGTTTGCTTTTACATATCTAGCATGTTTTTGAGATCTAACAACGTCCTTGAATTACAACTTTCACAAAAGTTGTCTAGAAGCAATTTAGTCCTCAATCCTCCTTAATCTGTTATGAGTTTATTACGCATAAAACTGGGATACATTTAATGATACCTATCTTTAGAAATAAGAAATTTTGATGTGATTAGAACACCAAGTCTTACTAAAACCAGTGTTAAATGTGTTTCTTTAATAACCAATAATACCATAAATAAGATGATTCAAATCAACCACAAAACTTTTATTGTCCTGATATGTTCAGAATACCTTCACGGTACCAAGATATCATGTAGAATAAATTGTTTTATAAATTACAACAACTGAACATTTTCAGAGTTAACTTTTCTTTCTTCCAAGGTGAATTGAAGAAAGATGGTTTATCTTTTGAAAGTAAATGGGTTATTGGCTTGTTGTAATATATCTTTATTATATTTCACAAATGTTTTTGTTGATAAAAACACTCATGCATTCCTAAATAAAAATTGAAAATACTGATAGCAAAGGCTATATGATAATTTTATTATTGGATATCCCATTTTAAATATCTCATGGCAACAATGAGAAATATAAATAGTTCACAGTTGGGTTTTTTTTATATCAAGTTCTTCTAGAAATTATTTACTAAAAATGTATAACAAAAGTGCATTATTTTTTACAAGCAAAATCCATGCAGATAACTTCACTTTTTTAATTATTAATTATTTATAATTATCCCTATAAATTCAAAACATGCTTAATTCCTTCAAACTGGTTTTTATAATCAAAAAGTTATCTGTAAAAATAAAAAGGTTTCATTTGAAAGTTAAAAACAATACATACATAATTAATTCAAAAGAAAAATAATATCAAAGATTTCCCATGGTCCTATGTTGTCTATATCTTCAAATTATTTAATATTTCATATAATAACATTGTACTTTCTTACATATAAACTTCATTATTTAAGAGTTGAAAAAAATATTTTCAATAGTATTTTTACTGCATTTTATGATTTGATTTTTACAAGATTAGAAAAAAAAATATGTTCATATAAAAAAAAATGTGCCTTATGAATTTTGAGAGTTCTTTTCTTTATGGTCTGAAAAAATCATAATTCTTATTCATAGCATAAATATACATACATTTTCTACAATGTGACTTTCTATCTTGTTAACTTTGGTTTATAAAATGTGTCACAGTGATGTTTTTGGATGTTTCATTTGATAAAATACTTTTTCCAATTGATTATTACCAAACAATCTTAATTTTATTTCTTAATAATTTCAAATACCCATTTGAAACCCTTTTTAGAAATTCTATGCAATGGAACAGTTTTTTTTGTTAACACAGTCTATATCTGGAGTGAACAATTTTCAGAGTTGAAACTATATACATATATCAGTTGCTTCCAGAAAATATTGTGTAAAATAATTTTCTTTTTTGTGCAAAGCTACTTAATATTATCATTCCTGTAGGTCTCCATCTCGAACATGTATCATTTGATGCCGCCTTAAATTACCTTTCTGTGTAAAACGTTTGTGACAAACATCACATTTGAATGGTCTTCCTCCTGTATGTAATAACTGATGCATTACCTGATGCTTCTTTAAGCTTACCTCTTGTGTGAAACTAATTCCACATATACTACAAATGGCAGAACGTTCACCCATGTGTACAAACTGATGTTCCCTCAAGCGTCCAAGCAGTACAAATCCTTTTCCACAAACATCACATGTAAATGGTCTCTCAGTAGAATGCTGCCACTTATGCCTTTCTAAGTAATTTTTCAGAGCAAAACTCTCTCCACAAACATCACAGTTAAATGGTTTTTCTCCAGTATGTAATAACTGATGTTGTTTCAAGACATTTTTTTCTCTAAACCTCTTATCACAGAGATCACATGCAAATGGTCTCTCTCCAGTGTGGATCATCTGATGTCTTTTCAAATCATTTCTTCTTGTGAAACCTTCACCACAGACATTACACCTGTATGGTCTTTCACCTGTGTGAATCAAATTGTGCTGTTTTAAATATCTACATTGTGTAAATCTTTTACCACAAATGTCACAACAGAATGGTCTCTCTCCTGTATGAATCAGCTGATGTTGTTTCAAGTGATTATTTTGTGTAAACTTCTTTCCACAAACATCACAAATAAATCGACTCTCTCCAGTGTGAATAACCTGATGTTCCCGTAAGTGATCTTTTCTGGTAAAGCTTTTATCACAGGTGTCACATCTAAATGGCTTTGTTCCAGCATGCTGCAGCTTGTGCTTTTTTAAACTTCTGTTTTGCTTAAAAGTTTTCCCACAAACATCACATTTATACTCTAGTTTTTGTTTATGTGTTAACATGTGTTGAAGAAGACTACTGGAGTTATCTGATGAATACTCACAGTATTGACAGTTATGTTTCTCACTTTCAAAATTTTCTGATTTGTGGAGTTTTTGATGTCTTTGCAAAACCTTTTGTGATTCAAAATATTTTTCACATTCATTACACTTGTGTCTTTTGGAAGCTAAAAAAAAGGAAAGAAAACACAACTAAAACACTTTAATAATAATTATATTAATGTTATGTTTCTTTAGCAAGAAAACAAATAATTGTTTTAAGTAAGCATAGAAATAAAAAGATTTTATGACCTGACTTTTAAAACAAATGCTGTTCAATTGTTAAGAAAAAATTACAATCCAGAGAAAGCTATTCAACATTTTAAATATTTAGTTTATATTATGTGCATGTCAACTTTTAAAAGAGTTGCATTCAAAATTTCATTAAACAACTTTATTATCAATGCATGTAGTAAATTTGGCACCAAAATATAGTTTATAATTCAAATGTTAATATTACGTAAGTTTGATTCTTTAAATTAAAAAGGAAATATTTAAATAAGTTCTCAATCTTCATTTCTGTGTGTCATGTTACACCTCTGCTATGAATGATCCATTTTAGACTTTTTTCTTCCCTTATATAGATTTCAGAAAGTCCACCAATTAGATACACCAACAAAAGATATTGACAGGCTAGAATTTGAAATAATAAACTCCCACCTTTTTTATTTGTTACACTCACCACAGAAATTCCTCCCAACTCTTCATGCTTTTGAAGGAAAATATTTACTCACATATACTTGTTAAAGGTATGTGTTTATAACCAACAGAAAAGACAATTTGTGAACTATGTGATTATTATGTCTATATGTAAATTCATTTTGGTAAAAGGCACTATATCCCTAGTAGGCTTCATTGAGTGAAGACTGAAGTCAATGCTCTGGTAAGTGATGAAATTGTTTAAACCATTTTATAGGTTGGTTAGAAATTCAGATAAATTATAATAGGTTTGGGCCATTCTGTTTTATTGCATATAATTTAAAATGCATATTCGAAAGTTACATGAATTATATTTTGGACAACCAACTTAGTGAAAAAACTTACGATTAATGAAGACTGGCTTTCAAAAGCAAAAGGGTCTCTATCCTGAAGTAAGTGCTAAATTTCTTACATTTACATACATTTTCTATTAATTGATATATATTTTTTACAAAAGTGGCTAATTAAAATGTAAAAATAAAAGTGTTATATGAAAAAACTTAAATGAAAAAAAATTTTGCCTTGAGGAATGCATAAGGAACATACATAGTTGGACATCTCACAATGTAACCTGAAATGCTGTTTACCCTAAACTCTCTGCACTCCTGCTAAATGATTTATTGCCATTCCTGGTAACTAAACTGTTCAAAAAGGAATAAAACAATAAAATCAAATGAAAACAGATGTAAAGTGTTATGAGCCTGAGGCTATTTAAAATAAATAATTGTAATTTCTGTTACAATTTACAGTAATTTTAGAAGAAAAAAAGGTAACTTAAATTTATTTTGTATTTTTCTGTGGTGGTTACAATGCCAGTCAAATGGCCAAAGCCAGTAGTGTGTCAAGGTAGGGAAAATAAAAAATAAAATATACAGTTTTACTAAAAAACAAACAATTTTTTTATATTCATTCAGTGGTTATGTAAATGAAATATGAAAACTATAAAGTGAAGTAATTTTTTATTTTTAAACTGAAAATCACCTTGGACTTAGATTATTCAGAGCCTGAGTCAGACTGACTAAAGTAAATTCAACAACAACTCTTTCATAGAAATACTATATTAAAATTCTGATTTTATGTGTACAACGTAATTGTAATGTCTACTAAAGGATTACCAATTCTGTGAAGATGCATTAAGTATAATTAATTATAATCATGGTTTGCCAGCTTATAAAAGGCATTCACACCATAACAATTGTTGTTGGGACAAATGGCCCATATAAGTAGTGTTCCAACCACTACTATGCTTGTTGTATCCAAGCCTGCCTGAAGAGCTCTGGACTGAGCAAAATGTCTCATCAGCAATGAATATGACTAATATAGTCTGGTTAAAATACTATTATTATACATTTTTCTAATTTTTGAAAATTCCTAAGAGACTAGATTAAGAATGTACTGTTCAAATAAAATAACAGACCTAACATTATGTTGTATGATAAGTATAATTAATTGTATTTAGTGTTTATGTGAAAATAAATCCCTGGTTTTCACAATTAAGATATGACACAAGTTATGAACTTTGGCTGTCTGATGTTACAAATATATCCTGGAATTACAATTTTCACACTTGATTTCAAAATAGCTCTTAAAAGCTTTTATCATATGCATTTAAGTATTTGTATTTTCCTTATTTTATTTTACCAAAAATTAATCTTCATTTTTCATGTACTGCAAGTTTTTCCTTAATAAAATTACACTGATAAAAATACCATTGATCATAAGTATTTTTATTTCTCATTTGTGAGCTATGAAAACCTTATTCTAATTTATTTGAAATAAATACTTTAAAATGCAGTCTGTCCTCAAATCTTAATTCAAATCATTATACATTAACATATTTGCTATGTTACAGGTGTTAATTCTTTATCATGCGAGGTACTGGTACACAAGTAAAGAAAAACTTTATAAAAAAGGAAGTAAATGTAGGGATGGCTAATGTCAATCCTTCAAAAACAATGCAAGCAAGATAGTAGGGATGGCATTTGCATTATCCCTACATAATAACACAGGCACACAGTGTAGTAGAATGTTAGCTCTTTCAGCACGGGCTCGGTCCCTGGGACCGACCTCTTAACCATTTTGTGCTTGTTATATTTTTCATGTTATAACTTATAAATTAGT